AGATTCAGATTGTGTTGAGCTATGTTCTACTTCAGACAAGAGATCGGAATTAATGTCTTTCTTCTCATCAGACTGCGGAATAACTTCAATATGAGATGCAACATGTTCGTTAGTATTAACTCTGGTTTGTAATTTGATTTCCAAGATGTTGCATCTTAATTTTGCTACTTCAGCTTTTAGATTGGCATTCTCTTTATTGCTTTGCTCTAGTTTTACAAATCTGGCCTCGATTTCTTCTTTATCTTGTTTTAATTTTGCATTCTCAGCTTTAACTTCGATATTCTCAGCCTCAACCTTAGCAAACTTCTTTCTAAGTTTATTGATTTCAACCGCAAGCTTGGAATTTAATTCTCTTAACGAAGCAATTGTAGTTTGTGAATCTGCCATTGTTTTACATAAAACGCGGATATATTCAAAATAAAAACATTATGTGTCCACTTTAATTTATAACAATTCTTAATTATATGCAGGTTAGTAGTAATCGGTATCAATACAATAAATAAATTCACGAAATACACATGCGAAAGTAAACACGATTATGTATGCAAAATCAGCCACCAGGGCCAGCTTTATTGATACGATAAATAAAATACAAAATACTGTAATTGTAAAAAATTTCTACGAAGCTACGAAGTTGTTTCCACGCAGAGAAAATTCTATCGATAATGTATCATGAGTTAATATTAAGGGGTTTGATACTTTATCATTATACATACACTGTGCGCATAACCGATTAATGTGTCATGACCAGGGACGTGGAATAATATCGATTTGTATCAATCATATATAAAACGATATTTTTGGGTCAAATCAAGGGAAATCGATATTTTTTGCAGTGTAACATTACGAATTTTGGGCAAAATTAAGATCAGCATTGAGTATAATTCGGGCCGGGCAAGACAAATTTGGGATACGTTAAAGGGGGTCGGTTAAAGCGGAGTTAATTCAATATATGATCTACATACTGCATAAATTACATTCTTGATATCTATATATAAAACTTCTTCTAACTGCATCAAAAACGCAACCCAAACCCTAACTAAATTTAACTCCGCTTTAACCGACCCCCAAATCGATCGATATTTTTGCAATTTCAAATCGATATTATTCCCCGTCCCTGGTCATGACCAACTATTGATCACGTCTTTAATGCTGTAATGGTTACACTGCAGAATAATTTACTTCTGAAAATTGATTCAATTCGCGTATGACGTAAATATATTTCTCTGTTCTTAAATTTAGTTCATTGTTTTCCAAATAACCTTATCAAACATGTCCGAAGTCGTAAAAGGGAAACTCCGATATTTCGAACTTTTTTCTCATTCGGAATGGTCTCTCAACCACTTTTACTTGTGGGTCCAGGAAAATCACGATGCCACGGAAGAAGTTAATGCCCGTAAATTTTTCTACAACATTGTAAATGCCATCAGCAACGACTCAGAGGCTTCACAAGAAGTTCAAGAGGTTGCAAAAAAACTTTTAAAAAGAAAAAAAGTAAGTATAATAAATGTGCAGTTAGGATTGGGGGATTTAATTAACTTATTAGCAACTATAGTTTGCCATACTATAGTAAGTTGTAATTACGCCCCTAGTTAGAATGTGAGGATTGCATGATTACCGGCGCGTCCTGCTGAATCACATACTGTATTCGTACAGAGAGTGTCTGCGTTCGCAAGTTCCTTTTGTTAAAAGGTCTACTGATTCAGGAAAATGGTTCAGTTACGTCTCCTTTAATGGCATAACAAATGAGCCGAGGTTTTTGAGCATCCTCCATCCAAATCTTTTATTTTACTTCTGAGAAACGTTTTTCTCATATGTTGCTTTTTGTAGTATGATATCAAAGAAGCAATTGCCAGATGGAAAGATGCAAGGAATAAGCGTATTTTGGGTGACGTGACCAACCTGATACCTGTACCTGTAGCAGGAGAAAAACGTAAAAATTATGACGCAAATATTATAGACATTTCTTCAAAAAGAATGAAAGTACCAGTTAATAGTGTGACTACCTTCGAGGCTAGTTCCAATATGCAGTATCTATCACCACGTGAGAAAAATTCTACATATTGTATATGGTTTTTTTGTCCTTTATTATTTACATATTTTTAAGTTCTCTGTCAAGAAAACGCGCTTGCCTGTATTCCACCGATCCTCGAATATTCTCCGTTTGCTTGTGAATCAAAAAGTACAACATCAGTAGATAGTAAACCACCAAAGGAGGTTCTTTTGTGGGAAGACTTTTTAGAAAAGGCTAACGAACATCTCTTTGACCAACAAAAAATGATATTTGAAAAGCCACAGTTTCATTATAATCGTCCGTTATTTAATGAAGCAAATGTTTGCGAAGCCGTGAATACCAATATTAATTCAATCTTAAATGAACTAATGGGAATGAATTATGCGTTTTCAAGCCGGAAACCTTATGTCAGTGAGCCTGACTTTACATGTTATCACAATGATGACTTGATTATGGTAGTAGAAGTTAAGAGAAAACATATTTTGGAGAAAATAAGCGAACGAACATTATCAGAATTTTACATGACGAATGATAAAGCCAAAATGGTAATCCATCAAATATATAGTTACATGGTAAAAAATCGGCTTCAGTATGGTATAATTACCACATATGATTGTCACTGGTTTTTGTACCGTCAGTCAGAGGTGCTTTACATTTCAAAGACACTTCCATTACAATCAAAAGCACCACCAGTATTAAAAGCATATGCTTATTTCGCATTACAAGCAAAAAATAATATATAAAAATAGTATTTGCTTTTTATCTTTTCATCCAAATTTATTCGAATTTGGTCTGCTACAAGCAAACCTCTGAATAAAAAGCATATTTTACTAATAAAATTAGAGTCGAATATAGGGTAGCCTCTTCAAACATTTTGATTGTTTTTATTCATGAATTATAAAAAATAGAGTGTGACGTCAGGTCACAATATCATGTGACTTGTAGCGCAATAATCGAAATATTAATAAATTTTGCATGCGGAATTTATTCTAACACATAAATATCTTTGTTACGTGGGTATCGCTAATTCTGATAACATTCACATCGCCTATATATTCCATTCGCTATTTTTTTGCATATCTTACAATATAGGTGTGAATGATGATTGCATTCGTCACAAACCTTATACCCGTACTTCCAACCTCTAAAGATATGCCACTTTTCGATATACTTTCGGCTTTTTTTATTTGGATATGTATGGAGATTAAGCTTCGGATGTATGAAGATGATGATGAATCCCGATCATATATATGTATTTATGATGGTGAAGAATGGGAAAAAAGTATAACGAAACTCGAAGAAAATGGATATCTATAGTAAGTTATAT